AGAGGGAGAGAAATAGATGGAGAGAGGGAGAGAGAGAGGGAGGGACAGAGAGAAACAAAGGGAGGGAGGGAGGGAGAGAGAGAAAGAGGGGGGGGGAGGGAGAGAGAGAGTTACCTCTTGTCCATTAATGGAGAGATCAAGTCGAAACCACCGCTTTAGAGGAAGGGGGAACGTAGTCTTCGCTGCAAGGTCCCCTCCTTTGACAAGGTGCATTTGGATGTGAAGATAACCTGAAATATGATCCCCAACCCATGAAGTTACTTAGTAGATTTCTCACTGATGAACAGTTGGTCACCATGCATACAATCTCTTTCCAGTCGAGCTGGATTCCTGATTCCTGATGACTCTTTGGGGTTTGGCAAAATCTGCACACTCCAATTACACTCAAATACAGTTATCCAATGTTTTAAAAAATAACATATCATTCATTCACATACTCCAAGACCCCGCATACAAACCCCTAAAGACAGACCCCACCACCTACCTAGAAAAAACTACCAAATCCAAAATAAAAGCCTCCCCCATCAGTGAAGAAATCCAGCAACGAATCATACCCAGAGAAAAATCATCCAGATGCCCCAAGCTTTATGGTCTCCCCAAAATACACAAAGAAGGAACTCCACTCAGACCAACAGTCAGCTCCATAGGCTCACCTCTACAAAACCTAGCCAAATTTCTCGCCAAACAACTACAACCTTATGCAGAATCCATCAACTCATACGTAAGAAACTCATTCCAATTCATCGAGATCATAAAGAAACAAAACTTACAACCTAACGACCTACTAGTAAGCTTCGATGTCATATCCCTCTTCACCCAAGTGCCAATAAAAGAAGCCTTGACAGCCATCCAAAACAAATACAACCCCCCCAAGCACATCCTAGATCTAACCAACCACTGCCTATCCAATACTTACTTCACCTACAATGGACAAAAATACAAACAAATAGAAGGAGCACCCATGGGATCACCCCTCTCACCTGTCATCGCAAACCTCTACATGGAACACTTTGAAACACAAGCTCTAGAAAAATACGACCACAAACCCAAACTCTGGCTCAGATACGTAGA